TCTGGTTAAGCTTTGCAGATGGTTCACTCAACCCGAGATGCTGAATGCTTAATAGTGAAAATGAAGCTATGATTTACTCTAATTTGTCTTAAAACTTTACAACTTGGGTGTGGTGTGGTGGCGCAGGGGTAAAGCACAACCCACATATGGAGGCCTTAGTCCTCAGCGCAGGTTCAATTCCTGGCTTTGGTGACCTTTGCTGCATGACTTCCCCCTTCTCTCATTACTCACTTTCCTGTCAATTAACTATCAAATAAAGGCCACTAGAGCCAAAACAATCTTAAAAAAAAAACTTTACAACTTACCCATTTGAGATTACTCCTAAATAATGTAAATTTAGTTCCCAGGTGGGCATGTTGCTCTTCACTATGGAAAAAGAGACGGTGACATTATGACTAAAGTAAATGACCTGATTCAGCAGAAAAGTATGAATAAACGTTCACTTTTCAATAAACGGACACCGTTAGACGGCTGCTCAATGTTGAAAATCATGTTGAACTTTTAAAACAAAGCTGGGTTTCATCATCTGGTTACTGCTGAGCTCTCTAGGGGACATGGAACAAATTTTCTTTTGTGTTCCCTCACAACATGCTTACTGCAATATTTTCTGACCTATTTTGTATGCAATCACAAATGTCGATTTAAAATGTCAAATATATACACATTTAAATAGCCTCAGTGAAAACGTGTTCATTATTAACTCTTTGGTGCAAAACATTGATTGAAAATTGATTTATTTACTGCATGTTTATGTCTGTTTGTGTAAGTTTGAGCTGGAACTGCACATGAAAATGGCAAAAGTTTTGCAAGGGAAAAAAAGGGGGTCCCCTAGAGGACTCCGGAGATTCCTGACCCTGGATTGTGAAAGCTCATTAAAATCAATTAGGAGGTTTGAAGCAAACTTATTTTTTCATTTTTATTATTCACAAATGAAGAAGACATTGAAGAATGAAAAACCTTCCCAGAAGCAATGGCCTACCAAATTACTCCAAGACTCAAATTTGCATAAAAACGTATCTGCAGTACAGTGTTGAGGTTACAGATTGAGGAAAATATTCTGTGTCCTGGCAACACAAACTTCAGGAAGACGTATCCTGGTTCATCATACATAAACCTAAAAGCATTTCAAAATAAGAGCATCATCCAGACAGTCAAACATGGTGATGGTCTACTTTTCTGCTTCAAAACCTGGATGATGGAAAAATGATGGAACTATGAATTCTGCTCTCTTGCAGGAAACACTGAAGGAGAAAGTTGTCCATTCTCAAACACCTTCCAATGGAGCCAAAATAAAGACATTTTTCTGATTAGACTGGACCAAAATTCCTCAGCCATGATGCAAATGACTCATTGGCAGTTATTGCAAACACTGTTTAACCTCAGTGAATCACTAATCCTGCGTTGTAGTGCAGGCTTAAGGCAACATGAAGCAAAAACTATGAGGAATATCCACGATTAACTAAAAACAGACAAAACCTAAATTCAAAACATGACAAAAGAACTCGGATCCTGACAAAGATGTGAAAACTAAAATAAGACTTTAGTGCACTACTTTAGACTTTAAATGTATTAAGTAAAAGTGTTTGTGTTTGTGTGGTGTCATTTCCCCCGAGCATTAACTGCTGCCTGTTATTCTGACGCATGAATATCACGTGGAAGTAGAGTTTGTTCAAATTTATTACATTGTGCAGAGTTGGAAATGCACTCTGTTCCTGCTGCCACACTTTCCTCGTCTGCATAAAACCACAAATCTGATTCAGACTTCGGCCAAAGTATGCCTTTCTAATTAAGCTTTATTCTTTTAAATGGCAGAACTCTCTTGGGATAATGAAGTGCTCAGTCATGGAAAGAAAATGAAATCCCAGTGCACTTATATGGTGCTTTGTGAGTGAGAAAGGAAGCATGGATCCGGCTCCAGATGGAACAAGCCTGAGAATTAGGTGAAGCTAGATTTGAAAATTTTACTAACATTATGTGCTCATGATAGAGGGCGATGTCCTGAAGCAAAAACAAAAATTGCTATATTTAGAAAGAGTACCCAGCACTTTTCCAAAATCTTAAAACAAAGTCTTGACCCTAAAAAGTCAGTTTGTTCCTTCTGGGAATTCATATTCTAGACAAATTTTTTATCACTGCATATCCTGTCCATGTTTTCATGTCGATTCTATATTTTTAAAAAAGACAAAACTTTATATTTGTCTAATCACTCAAACACTTTACACTACAGCAAGACTCACACAATCACAAACACAGATTCATATACTCATCCATCAATCACTAGGCGACTTAAAGTTTAGTGCCTTGTCCAGGGTCATTCAGCAGAGCACAGGTATGGAAAAAATACATGTACACCTCTGATACACCACATCCCAAAGGTGCTCTGTTAGGTTGGAATCCGATTGAAATCATTGCGCCTTAATGGTTAGCAAAAAGGTTTTGGTTGGACTTGAGCTTGTTGAAGCAGCATCGATAGTCGTGTAGGTTGTGGTGTTTAGATAGTGCTCAGCGGCCGATTCATCCTAATTATGGAAACCCCGACAGTGAACCTCCGAGTTTGAGAGCCGCTAACTAAAACATACGTTCTGCAGGGGGAGGTCCATAAGAAAAATAATAAATTCTGGAGTGATAGCACTATTTTCTAATTAAGTTGCTGAGCTGAGAGCTGCAGCTCAACGATAGACTGCTTGCTATCCCTGCTCCAGGCAAGTCCTGTGTGATGCTAACCAACCAATCAGCAGAAACTTGACGGCACCGCCCCTCATTTGCATTTAACTGTTCTTGACGACAACGCTGCAACGCACAAGGAAAAGTAAAAAATGGAGACGCTTGTATAAGGAAAGGACAAAACTAAATATATACATTTCTTGGCGAAAATACACGTGTAAGGAGAATAAAAATTCATATACTTTTTTTGATGACAGTGCATGTATAAAGGAAAGGAAAAACAAAATATATACATTTCTTGACAGTACGTGTNAGGACAAGGAAAAACAAAATATATATTTATGCTTTTATTTTTTATTATGTCAGTTTTGGTCCTCCATATAAAGCAGTCTCAAAATGAAAAAAAGCATTGCTAACTTTTCACTTGAACTTGACCATTTCTACATGCAGAACAAATATCTGAAACTGTGTAGCTGCAGCACATCGTGGCATCTTTGCAGGATTAATTTGTGGATCTGAAGTAGATAACTGACTGACCCTTGGTTATAAAACTGCATGTTACAACAAAGGAGAAGAGCCAGAAAAAGAAGTATGTAAACAACCACAGTTTATTTCAGTGCATGTGTATGGATGTTGCATTTGTTGATTTGTAAAGTAAAACCTTATAAAAGGAGCATGAGTATTCCGATGGGTTGACATATAAAGAGGAGACACTGTGAGAATGGCTTGCTTCCTAAGGATCCATCAGATCAAATGTCATCGTAAATGTGTTGTCAAAGGTGAGATTTCAGGGCATGATGTGTGAAGAATGGAGAAAGCAAAGACCAGAGGAATCTGTTTTAAGAGATAAACCTCAGACCAGCTGCAAAGCGCTGCTCTGGAGATTTAAGAGTGTGAAGCTGCAGTGCAAGATTTGCTCTCAGTGAACTGAGCAGCTTACGGTTTTTAGGCGTTAATTGAATTATCGGCAGCAGTTAAAGAAGTTGCTTGAATTTAAATTTTTTGGCATGTAGGTCTACTTTCTCCTGTTTCTCTACATATTAACTCTAGTAGTAACAACTCCAACCATTTTTAAAACATTTGGCTTAAATATTCACTCTTTTGAACATTATACACGAAGGCGGTGCAGCGTCACCGCAGTCACACAGCAACTCCACAGGCACTATGATGTTTTAATATCATCCTGTTATGATTATCATAAGACCTGTGACGTTAAGACGGGACTGCAGCAGACTGAGCAGAGCAGACTGCAGCGTTCCTGAGATATCCTTGACACCAGATAGTTAAACCATCTGCAGTAACATCCTCCAGCAGTTTCCCAACAGCAGTCCAGCTGATTGATGTGGCGCTCTGGTAATTTGATTTGTTTCACCCTGGATAGCAGAGTCCTGTCCGTTTTCCAAATGGCTCGTCCTGTTGCTACAAATGACATGTAGTTAGTTGCTAATTACCGCAAGACCTTTAATACGTGTCCACAAGACACACGGAGCGTAGACTGTCTGGAAACGATTCTTTTATTTCGAAAGGCTTGTGTAAAAGAAATAGTGTCAGGAAACTTCTGGACAGCGACGTCCACAATCACAAACACACGACTGATAAGTAGGCAAGTGATGCATTGTTTCAAAAACTGCGGTCAACATTTGTACTCAGCCCCCTTTACTCTGAATAAAATTCTGTGGAAACCAATCGACTTCAGAGATGATCTAATTAGTAAATAAAGTTTGGGTCTCAGAATAAATGAAGCTGTTCTGCAAAGGCCTCAGAGGGAACATTAGTAAAGACCAAAAAGCACAGCAGACAGGTCAGGGATAAAGTTATGGAGAAGATTAAAGCAGAGTTAGGTAATGAAACATCATCCCACCACGCCTTCAACATTTCACAAATGCTCCGTTCGACCCATCATTTGAAACAGAGCCGTACAAAGTTATTGTTGTTTTAACAAGCGGGGACAACATCTGGAAGGAGGCAAAATTACATTTTCAGCGTTTTGGTCTGCATGCAAAACATGTGAAGTGGAAAACTAACACATTGCTTCTCTTCAAAGAGACGAAGAAGCTGGTCATACTTGACGGAAAGATGTATGGAGCTAAATTCTTGAAAAAAATCACGTTAGAGCCTGTAAAGATTTTAAACTAAAGTGGACGTTCGCCTTCCAGCAGAACAACAAACCCAAACAGGCTGCAAGGGAACAGTTTGGATCAAAGCATCGAGTTTCGATCTTTCAAAAGCTTTTTAACTCTTTCGTCCACTTGATGTTATTCTGCAGCAAAGCAATGTGTTGTCTGCTCCAGAAAGAAGAAATATGAACTTTGACTTCATGCTGTTCTGTTTGTGTCAATCAGAGACCTGATGAGGAAGTGGTGGTGGACCAGGGAGGAACCAGCTCAGTGATGAACATTCACTATGAGAAAGAGGAGCTGGAAGGTGAGAACTATTTATATTTGGAAAACTGGGTTGATCTTAAATGTCTGGTGGTTGTCTTTTCCTGGGGGCATGCATTGGTTTTTCTTTGTGGTCCATCTGGCAGATTATTCTACAAATACAGATGCCAATCATAAGCATGTTCATGTCTGGGAAAACAAATTCATTTGCTCAGAGAAGAAGAAAAAAAAAAGAAGCATAGTGGGTCTGATTTTAACTTATAAACTGAATTTTTTCCTCCCACACTTTCTAGAGGAGTACAGCAGCACTTCATACTTTGTGTCACTGAAACTCAGAGATAATTTTACATAATTTAGAACAGAAGGAAGGATTTCCGGTCCTTGTTTCCTCGGGACTCCGCTGAAAACACTCGAGCCAGAACTGTCTGCCACCTCAGCCTACGACCCAATCAGGTCCAATTTGTTTGTTAGTAATGCTTATGTTTGCACATAACCACACAATTGTTTTATATCACATAAGCATCAAAATGAGAAGAAAAGGAATGTAAGGCATGAGGCACCAAACACATAAGAAAAAGAAAACAACCCAGATATAAAGATAAATATTCTGTAGTGGTTCTGCAAGCAGAACTAAATTGCGACATTCGTTTTGTTACGTCTTTTGTCACTGCTTTATATAAACCCTTTGGCATCAACTGGTTGCTTTACCTTCTCTCAGTTTGTTTCTGTGATTACCTATTTTGTACCTCTTTTGTTGTTTTTAAATTAAAATGTTTTATTTTTAAACATATTTCCATATTTCTTGATTGTGTGAAGCAGCTTAATCTGCAGGCCTGTTGGAAAGACGGTATATAAATACTGACTGATGCTTTTAGTCAGTGTTAGAGCCGCTGGTGGAGTTCAGAGTTAAGAAGTAAAGAGTTATTGATTCTATTTTAACACCTCTAGATTTGATACGGAAACACTTTGTTTTAACACTGGATTTTAACTACTAATAATAGACACCCTAGAGTTACAGACACAGAATGTGACTCTACTAGAGTAAAATTAACTCTGCTTTTGCATAAAGTCTACTAACACCAAAACATTTGACACTTTTGAATTTGCTGTGTAACCGCAGAGATAAATTTCACAAACAGGCTGCAGTTTGGCTACATCTTATTAAATTAATTTGTTGACTCAGGCACATCTCTAATCTAGTGAGTCCAAATAAAGCTGACTCACACATGCAGCTCTTGATTCCACTCATCCTCCTCTTGCCTTGTTTAGTTTCCCGTTTTCGCTCTCGTTCAGCTCTGTTTAGCTTTATTTATGCGATTCTCATTCACATTAATTAGCCTTGTGCAAAATGGGTCCATTGTGGAGCCAATTACATGCTGTCCGATTCAGTCGTTTTAATCGTCACAGTGCAACCACAAACTATTTTGCTGGAATTTTGGAAGGTGAAATAAATAGAAATAGGTAGTTTTCCAATGTCTTCTAATATCTGCACCTTAATTTTTTTTTTTTTTTTTACAAGAATATGAATTGTTGAATTTAAACACGGTGGGAAATAGGATGTTACTTGTAAAAATGGCTAAAAAGTCACACTTATAGAGACAAACTTTGTAATTTGAGCCGTGTTAGGGGATTAACTTCAGCTCAAAACTCTTCCTTTGATACCAGTTGTGGAATATTGTCAGATATTATCAGCTACGCCATCTACTAATGCCAGTAACGTGAAAAAAAAAGGCATATAAAAACCAAAGGGGTATTTGTCATGTTCTAATTCTGTTGAGATATTTGAGGTTAAACCGTGGCATCATTCTCAAACTTTTTGCAGCCGATATCTCCTTTTTTTTTTTTAAAAAGAGGTGTCCTGTATTTAACTTTGTTTGTTCGATGGCCCGAAAGCTGACCGGCCTTCCTGTCTGCACTGAAGAAACTTCATGTGGCTTTCTGTTGGCATTAGCTTTCTTTCTGTCATTTACCCATAAAGGTCAGATGTATGGAGAGCTTCACACATCTGTCAACAATTTCTCCCACCTCTAAACCTGAACCAGAGTTAACTTTTAGCCCGTAGGCTGGCTCTCTCACCCAGCCTGTCAATTTACAGAAGCCGTGTTTGATTCCTAATGGTGTCAGGTAAAAAAATCTCTTAGTAAACATTAGTAAAATCTTCACCTCTCCCGTTAGGACACAGGACTCTGTTTGTCGGGGTTCGGATGCCGAGGCAGAGCCATCGGCACCACAAACCCCACGGATCCCGCCACCGCAAGAAAGATAAAAGGGCAGGAAGCATCACGACACAACAGAGCGAGGACAGTGAGACAGCTGGCAGCAGTCACGGTAACACACACACACACAGCACCACACACACTCCGTCAATATAAAGATCTTCCTTTTTACTGTTTTGTATGACTCGTTACAGTCACACATATGCATGTGCCCACAGGCTCCTCCCACTCAGATCAATCCTGCTGATTTTCATCACATGGTTGTACGACCACTGCACTTCAGGCAACAATTGACGGGCCACTAATGACCCAATTAGGAACAGGACTGGATTTCTGTGTAGAGTCTTTTGTGAAAGTGAATGTGCTGCCATCTAAAGGCATGACATATGTAAGAGACTGTGTCCAGAACTAAGCTTCACCTCTGTGTCTCTCCTTCTTCCCTCGCTCCCTCATATTCTTTCACTCCATCAGACACGCCGTCCCAGCGGGTCCAGTTCATCCTGGGCACAGAGGAGGATGCGGAGCACGCGTCCCATGAGCTGTTCACCGAGCTGGACGAGATCTGTGTGAAGGATGGCAAAGACGCCGAGTGGAAGGAAACGGCCAGGTCAGGAAGCCTCCGCAGGGAGAAGCTGAAAACAGAGCCTGTAATAAAGTGTCTCACTGCAGGGCTGGCAGAACGAGATCCATACATGTACAGCTGGTTATTACATTTACAGCTCAGGGAATCATTTATCGCTTCAGGTGAGAAGATGAATTACAAAATGCTACTTTCAAAAGGAGCAGAATTTCAGATTTACATGCTAATGTCAAGCCTTCGAGCCCCTATAAAATAATTGTGCAAATCTTCTGTTACGATGTTGAAAATGGGAGAGGGAAAGTAATCTCTCCTTGCAGTTTGCTGCTGGTAAAAAGCTGGTCTGCACTGATCAGACTTTCGAGAATAAAGTAAAAACAAACCAACATTGAACTTAGGAAAAAGCCTTCTGAATCAAGTCAAATAATTTTAGCAATGTAGGTAAAATGTCCGACGAAGCCAAGCGCAGAGAAACTTTCCAGGCAGAATACTTAAATAGATCATAAACATTGGATGATTTACAGCAGGAAAAAGGAGGAAGAGACGAGGCATGGAGCAAAGACGGTGAAATAATGGAGGTGTCACAAAGAATAACAGAAAGAGCCAGTGGAGAACAACAACACTGAAATGTTACATAAACACTGATGAGTGGCGAATGGCAGGGGAACCAGAGGAGCTGATCAGAGACGTGAGGAAGAGGAAGATGGACAGCAGGTGTGCCGCGAAGCAGGCTGACAACAGGGCAGGAGAAACACAGGAGGAAAGAATAATGTGAGAAACTACAATCTGGAGCACAAAGGGGCAAGACAGATGAATAAAATAACTAAAACAACTGAATAAGATAAAATGGCAAGAGCTCACAGGAAATGATCAAAACGGAAAAACAAATGATACCCCAGGTCCAAACACCTACATATCGAGATATTAATTTTGGAGTTTTTGCCTTTATTGTCTGGTTTTTCTTTTGAGAAAATCAGGTCTGACGCAAAACTAATTAGTTCAAATCGCTTCACTTATGCAGCACCGATTCAACAAATCCATGTTGCTTTCATCAATAAAAATAATCGAGACAGATTCAACGTTAGTTACGTACAGTTTAGTCCTCGTTGTAAAACAATGAACGTTCATTATTCGAATTGGTAAAACTTTTATTATCTAAGGAAACCCAGCTGACTGCATCAAAATAAAATCAGAAATTGTCCCGGTAATTACTGTGATGAGTGATTATATTTTGGTTTTGAGACTATTTTCAATAATGCTAGCTCACTCTCTCAAACACGGTGCAAGTGGAAGATATTTCAACAAAAAACTGTAAATAAACCAGAAATAAAAGGCACACTCAACCAAAACCATAATCAAATGAAGTGTGGTGTGTAAGCAAAATTTCCCTTCAAAATATTAATCATCAGAAAGGAAATTGATTTACTTTATCATGTGAATAATTGATTCTTTGCTTACAAGTCGCTGAGCATTTACTTCTCCTGAATGAACGTGAACAGCTTTTGCAGCAAACCCTGAGCACGTATCTTTATGAGGAAGAAACATCCAGGCTGACCCTGAGCGGCCATCTGTCACGACCAGCCGGGGGTTTAACAGAACAAAGCAAATAAAACGAAACACAGAAGCGGGAATCTAGAAGTACTTTCACTATTAAACAAAAGCAGAGCTGATGGTAGCAGAAAAACTAGAGAAGCCAAAAGCTTCTCTCGCGCATCATCTTCCTTTAATCCAGATTCAATTCAGTAATCGGTTCAGTTTGTTTACATCGCGCTACTTTAAGTAAAACATCAACACCACTCAAGGGTTAAACTAGAAATATTTAAACTGGACTCTATTGAGGTGAAGCTCCTGATCTGCTGCTTGTTTTTATGTTGCAGGTGGCTGAAGTTTGAGGAGGACGTGGAGGACGGCGGAGAGAGGTGGAGCAAGCCTTACGTCGCCACACTTTCCCTCCACAGCCTGTTCGAGCTGCGCAGCTGCATCATCAATGGCAGCGTGCTGCTGGACATGCGAGCCGACTCCATTGAGGAGATAGCAGGTGAGAAATTTCCTCTCGCGTGTAAACCAGCATCTCAACATCAGAATGCTAGAAGACACGTGAAAGGTTGTCACGGATGTTGCAAAAAGTCCGTTTTCGTTGTGATAATGGCCAACATCCGTTTTTATGAGCTTTGCTGGAACTTTCCTTTTGTAGAAATGAGACTTATTGATATAAACCGGGACGCAAAAACATTCAACGAGCTCTTTATTTCAAGATCAAAGTGATTTATAGATAACATGAACGTTTTGCATAAGGTGGACATGACAATGGTCAATACTCTAACTTTTCTTCATAGAGGTTACAACTGAGCTGATTCACATTAATCACTCTGTACCTAAATATTTTAACTGAATTCATATAAAACATGAACTACTTTTTTCTTTTTGTTAGTTTGTAATGCTTGTTGCATATACTCTAATTGGTGAATAAAAAAAAGTTAAGATGCCATAATTAGCACATCAATAATGGTGTCATGTAACATTTACATTTTGAACATTTGAAAGTTCAGTTCCTTTTGGGGGTTTTTCTCTCCTGGTTTGTCTTTCTCACATAATTTGTTTTCTTTTATTTATATAATCTCCTGCTTTAGAGTCCAGACACCAAAATCAGAAATAATTTGGACAGAAAAACATTTTCATTCCACTACAAACTTAGTGTTCCTCTTTGACCAAATACTGTCAAACAAAATCATCATGCACAAAGACAAATGACATTTTTTGTGTTGTTATTTTGGCTTAACTTAATTTGTATAATGACCAGCTAGCACTGCTAGAAGTGACAGAATGCATTGGGATGCAACTTTATCTCTCTCTCTGCTGCGTCTGCAAACCCACAACCCGTACTCACCCCCTGCCTGCAGAAGGCTCTTGCAGAGTACAAGCAGAAATGAACTGCAGAAACAAATGAGTATAATCTATCATGTTCACGCTTAAGGCATAAGCCTTGAGTTTAAGGCAAAGGAAGGAGGCATACTATATCAGTTATGGGTCCCTACAGAGGCTCGTATAAGTGTAACAACCTAAACCTTGCAAGTATGTGCGCGCACACACACACAGCATTTTTTTCACAGCTTTGTCTTGCTTAAATAAGTTTTTTCTTAAAGTTTCTCATGTTAGATTTTATTCACTCCAACACAGGCAGTGACTTAAAGTTTGTCATGTTAAGACAAACATTTTCAAGTGGAAGATCTTCAAGTCAACTCATGAAAATGTTAAAGGCATTTTTACACCATAGTCTTGCCTCAGATAAAAGTAAAACATTAACTTTTTTTATATTCATGCATTTATCTTGACTTTGCTTTCTAATCTAATTTCTAAACAGATAATAAGAGCTGACTTTATTATCTTTTCATCATAATGTTTGAAGTTACACATTGAAACGGAGAAACAAGGAGCAAGAAAACAACAGACTTCTTGATAACATAAGGCCATGTTAGCTTTAGTTTTAATTCGTTAACACACATAACCTTGCAGCCCTTAAAGCTTCCCGGGCTTTACTGCATGCAGGCTTCATTGTGTTGCTCTGTTGTCGTTGTCCTTATTAACACGTTTCACTGAGGTCAGCTCATTATCGCTGATCTTAAAGTGCGCTCAGAATAAATTCACTTACTGCAGACAAAATGTGCGTGAGAGAATCTCCTGGTGGCTGTGGGTAAAGAAAGGAAGCAGACTAATGCACAGTCTTGTGCTGACTAAACAAGTCAGCTTGAAAGGACAAGTAAGACGCAGACAGAAGCTGTTGTTCTTCAGGTCCATATGGTCTCATATGTCAGCAGCATTGATTCAGCTTCAGCAGCACATAGGCTGCTCTTACCTCAGACAGACAGATGTATGAGAACACTGGTGTAACACAGAAATTGGAAAAAGATTAGTGAAATTACAACATTTCTTGTTCAATTTAATATTTTTTCAGTTGTTTATGAGCTAAAAGTTCATAATTAGTTATAATTCATATTAACTTCTGGAAACAAGGAATGTGTAAAGATATAAAAATATCTAAATGCAATGAAAGTGGAAGAAGTGTGGTCTTCTTACGTTGGGAACCGTCTTCTTATGGTGATGTATCCAGAAAGGAGAAAAAGGACAGGAGAAATGTTGTGGGGACTGTAAATTGGAGAACTAACCAACCGGAACTGCACACAGAGATTTAAAAGCACAAAAAAAGTCCACATGAGGTTCTGACAATGTCTCTGTCAAAATGTTAATCCAAGAGCATCATCTGTCGAACTCTGTTCATCTGTGCTTTTGACCTGACACAGTTACTTAAAGTTAAGTAACAACATTGGAAGTTGTTTGTTAGAATTTCCTGCATGGTGGATCATTTTGGAAAAAATGCTCAGTGCATCCTCTTCCATGTGACAACACATCCATTTGACAAACTGCTATTTAAAAAAGACTTATTGTTATAAGTCTATTCTCTGTTTACAGTCATGATCAGATGCATTTGAGTGCGGTAGCAGATTCTATATAGTCAGCCATATGAAACTGTGTCTTTGATCCTAGGGGTGCAACTCCAAAAGCTCATTTTCTGTCAGAAATCGACATTTTAAAAGTATCTTTTTGATTTGAAAACAATTAAAGGGCTAATTGTGAAGATTTCAGGCTCTAACATGTGATGTCAGACCTTCTCCACGGAGACAAAAGCAGTCGTGGTTAGCAAACTAGATAAATACTATTTTATTAAGTCTCAGCTGCTTTTGCCCACAAGCCCAGTGTGAGTCTAAAATTGCGTTGCAGACATGGTTCTGGATCACCAGGAGGCGTCGCACGAGCTGGATGACACCGTCAGAGTTAGGGTGCGTGAGGCTCTGCTGAAGAGACACCATCACCAAAACGAGAAGAAGAAAAACCTGATTCCAATGGTACGCTCCATCACCGAGGGAGCCCGCAAACAGTCCGAGCCTCAGGTAGTAGGTACGACTCATCACACACTCATCGGTGGGGAGCGGTTTTAATTTTGCAGGACTAAAGCAACAGACACACAAGTTACATTGCTTTGCAAAAGTGTTCACACCCCTTGAAAAGTTTTCACGTTTCGTCACATTACAACCACACACTGTGTGGAGTATGTATGGACAGCAGTTTTTAAGTCTTGCCACAACTCTCAGTTTGGTTTAGGGTTGGACTTTGGCTGTTACATTTCATTCTCTAAAAAATTTTCGTCCAGGATTGCCTTGTGTTTCAGCTCCATCCCATTAAATCCTGCCAGTTTCTTCATCCCCACTGATGAAAAGCATTCCCACAGCATGATGCTGATGGAAGTGAGTACAGGGAGGTGTGCAGTGCTTTTCCCAGTTTGTGGAAACCTTTGGATGGTTTTCATGGCTCCCTTACACATTGGTGGACTTTAATCACCACTAAGGTCACTTCTGAAGCCAACTGGATGCACTAGATTTCACCTATCGGATTAAAAGGGGCCAAATGCAAACGAATGCAACACTTTTCACCTTTTATTTGTAACATATTGAAAATGATAATTTCCCTTCATTGTTGTGGTTGTTGATTGCTTTGTGTTAGTCTAAAAAGAATGAATACTTTTTGAAAGGCACCACAGAATCCTCTTCAAGCAGTAATCCTCCAGTACTTCATTGCTTCCGAGAATTAAGAAACTGGCAAGAGGAATCTAACTTTTGGAGATTTATTTTTCACACTTTGTTCTTGGAATGATATTTTCTCTGATTCAGCTGCGTTTTCTGTGAATCACATACATGCACACACCCACACTTTACCATCCATTAGGCTCCGCCACGTCTCCCCAGCCTCCTCTGCCGATGGAACCGGCCAAGAACGGCGCTGGACCGGACAGCAGTCAAGTGGACCTCAGTAAGGTAAACAAACCGGCTGAGGATTTCTCATTCATTTCATTAATATGGATGAATAATGGAAAATATATCATTTGTTATTTATGAATATTCACATGCTCATCTCAATACAGGTTACAGTATTGAGATGAGCTACAAATTATTTTTACCTCTAGTGCAGGAGGTGGATGTTTTAAATCTGTGCTTCAGTCTGGTAGTTTTCTCTTTTTGCTGCAACAGGTTGACCTGCACTTCATGAAGAAGATCCCAGAAGGCGCCGAGGCCTCAAATGTGCTGGTCGGTGTCCTGGACTTCCTGGAGAGGCCCGTTGTTGCGTTTGTACGCCTTTCCCCTGCTGTTCTGCTCACTGGACTCACTGAGGTTCCCATCCCCACCAGGTAGACAGCCACAGCTCCATCAGGCCTTGCTGGCAGGTCATGTTAATTCAGCTTTCAAAGGAGAGTTTATGAAGTATGGTTTATCTGCTGGTCCAAATCAGATTCCTCTTTATCCTTCTGGGCCCTGATGGAAAAGCTCAGCAGTACCACGAAATTGGACGTTCGATGGCGACTATTATGACGGATGAGGTGAGAGACCTTTAAGATTTTTCAGAACCATTCACTCTATTGAACTTTTTAGCATTTTTTTTTTTTTGCAATAATCACAGTTTGTGTGTTTTTTTTTTCTTTTCTTTACCTGAGTAAAAATAAATGCATGCCAGTTTTTATTATTATTATTATTATTATTATTATTATTATTATTATTATTATTATTATTATTATTGTTGTTGTTGTTATTTTTCTCCCACATCCCTGTAATGCACTACTTCGTGTTGGCACATTACAAAAGAAAATGAAAAAGTTAAAGAGGTGTGAATACCTTTGCAAAAATATTGCAGCTTCTGAACCACCGATGACAGAAAAACTGAACATCTTTCTTGCAACGTTTTTCTTTAATTATTTTTAAATTTCTTATTGGATCAGATCTTCCACAACGTAGCGTACAAGGCGAAGGACAGAAGCGACCTGCTGGCAGGGATAGACGAGTTTCTGGACCAGGTGACTGTCCTGCCACCAGGAGAGTGGGACCCTTCCATCCGAATAGAGCCCCCAAAGAACGTCCCCTCTCAGGTAATGCATCTTACTTTTCAGCCCTGGATTTTAACCTCACTAGAGGCATTCAGAGTTGTTTATGTAACATGTGAGACTTGTTTTTTTTTGTTTTGTTTTTTTTTTTTGCTTGCTTCTGACCTGCAGGAGAAGAGAAAAATGCCTGGAGTCCCCAACGGCACAACCCTGCAGGTAGAAGAACCACAACATGCTGAACACCACGGGCCGGAGCTGCAGAGGACAGGAAGGTAAGCAGCTGACCAGTCAGGTTTGTTACAGACGTGTTGCTTAATTATGATCAATATGGATGATTCTGACTGAATGTGCAAACCTTTTAGCATTCTGCTTCTTAGTTGCTGCTATGGGCAAAAACTGAATTTCTGAAGAAATGAGATGGGACAATATTAAGGGCCCAAAGAGGATTAAAGCACTTCTCAGATACTTTGTAAAAGGTTTTGTATTTTTCTTTCTGCTTGATAATTATGCACCACTTAATATAGATCAATCACACAGAAACCCAGTGAAATACATTTAAGTTTGTGGCCACAATCTGCAAAACATTCGCAAGGCCGTGTATGTCACCTATTAGCTCCTCAAAAAAATGTTTTTTTTTTAAAGATTTTGTGGCACTAGTGACCTTTATTCATCAGTAGCCTGACATGGAGAGAGGCAGAGAGGCGGGGAAGAGACGCAGTAAATGGCCTGGGGTCAGGAAATGAACCCAGAGCAGCTGTGTCAAGGACCACAGCCTACAAATATGCATCTTCTGCTCTGCCACCGAGCCATATGGTGCCCACTTCTGTACTTTCTGAAAAAGACTGGTGATTATTTACCTGGTGTTATTTGGTTTGTTTTTAAAAAGTGGCAACATGTTTGCCATCGTCATACATATAAATATAGCAGCGCTTGTTTTCTCTCTAAAATGAACAACCTGTCATCAGGTTGTTCGGCGGCCTCATACTGGACATCAAGAGGAAAGCTCCTTTCTATGTGAGTGACTTCAAGGACGGCCTGAGCCTCCAGTGTGTGGCCTCCTTCCTCTTCCTCTACTGCGCCTGCATGTCTCCTGTCATCACTTTTGGAGGACTGCTGGGGGAAGCGACTGAAGGACGTATTGTAAGAGCAAAACCGTATTTACGCCACTCTGCGGTGCTGTTTGTTCTCATCATGTGTGAGTGAAGACGAATCAAACACAATGCAATACCACCACCCGTTCCAGAGCGCCATAGAGTCGTTGTTTGGTGCTTCGATGACTGGAGTGGCCTACTCTCTGTTCGCTGGGCAGCCTCTCACCATTCTGGGCAGCACAGGTCCAGTACTGGTTTTTGAGAAGATACTCTTCAAATTCTGCAAGTACGTTGAGAAATTAAACGGCTCCTTTGCTGGCTAGTCAGGCCTTCGTCGGCCTCCTCTGACCCCCGCCTCTCTTTTCTTTCTCAGGGACTACGATCTGTCATATTTGTCTCTCCGGGCTTGCATTGGCCTGTGGACGGCACTGCTGTGTTTCATGTTAGTGGCCACAGACGCTAGCTCTCTGGTTTGCTACATCACTCGGTTCACTGAGGAGGCATTCGCCGCCCTCATCTGCCTCATCTTCATCTACGAGGCCTTGGAGAAACTGTTTCACTTGGGGGAGCTGTACCCCTTCAATGCAAACAGCGAGCTGGACAAACTCACGCTAGCATAGTGAGTAAACGGCTTCTTGTTTTTTTTTTTCCCTCTGTGTGTTTGTAACTTATTTGCATCTTTTTTCCAAACCCTTGTAAGAACAAAAAGAAAAAAGTAAACAGAACCCAAACATATTCATTTAGTCAGTCAGCAAATGTTAATTTCCTGTTTTGTGTCCATCTCTCTGTGTAGCTGCAGGTGTTCACAGCCTGATAATCCCAGTAATAAAACCTTAGAGCTGTGGAGCGAGAGAAACATCACGGCCTGGGCTGTATCCTGGGAAAACCTGACTGTCAAGGTCATTTCGTTACATCTATATGCTTTCCATTCATTCATCATCCCTGCATGCTGTGATTTATTTCTGCCATATTTTTGATTGTCCAAAAAAAAAAAAAAAACACACATAATCCTGCCACTATTTTATTTATGTTTGTGTTTTTAATAAATAATTCATATTTAAAGAGGAAAGTATGTTAGTTTTGCAAGTTTACAGTTTTTTTTTTTTATCAGATACTTTACCTTCAAATAATTTCGCATTCATCGAGCGTCGTTGACAGGAAAACCTGTTTGTTTTTGTTCATTATCACTTGAAGCTACACGCTGTTTGCTAAGAAATGACCAAATAACATTCTAACTTTATTTTGTTTGGTGTTTCAAAGAGAGAAATAAGCTACGCCAGTTCAATGCTATTGAGCTCCATCCGTTGCTTTGGGTTTTAAAGAACAAAAACCAATTACAAATATTAGCTTTTATGACACACAGCAATCTGTGGCCAAAGAAGAGAAAATGAGGGAAGTTAAGTGACTTAGTGCGTCCTCTAAAAAATACCTAGAAAAAGATTGTCACATTGTTACCAAGGCATGTCATTAACTTTTCAGTCAATATGTAGCTCACCTACAAGGCCTTTTCTGCCTGAGGCTGCATCCTTCTGTTGTTTATATTTCTTTGCTTCAGAATGTTTTTTTTTCTTTTTGGTTAACATTCAACAAAATCTCACCTTCCCTTTACCAGTTAATCTCTCTGAAGGACATCTGTAAGGCTGACATTTCTAGCATTTCATCTTGACAACACAAAGGTGTTTGTTATTTTCAGGAACATGTAATTACTTTGTTTTTTATTATTATTATTATTATTATTATACTTTTACCCAATCAGCTCAAATAAAGGGGTCTCCATGTTGTTTTTTCTTGAGTCTGGGCTGAAATCTGTCTGCGTCCCCACAGGAGTGTATGAGCCTTCAAGGACACTTTGTTGGGACAGCATGTGGACACCACGGTCCCTTCACCCCAGATGTTCTCTTCTGGTCCATCATCTTGTTTTTTTCAACGTTCTTCATGTCGGCCTTCCTCAAGCAGTTTAAGACAAGTCGTTATTTCCCCACCAAGGTACCTCACCACCTTGTTGATGTATGATGGTTGGCAGGATCATGTTTTTTTATATATATATATATATATTCTTAGCAGGGACCCGTCAAAGTTGATTGGAAGATGAATGGAAGCAAACAGAGTAAATAAATGGAAGAAATATCTGAGATTAGGCTGGAGGTTTACCTTTCAGCAGTCCAACGACTCTAAACATACAGCCAGAGATGCAATGAAAGCTTTTCGAGCAAAGAATACCCCTGAGTTAGAATGGCCTAGTCAAAGTCTAGCCCAAGTCCCGGACTTGAAAATGACTATTTATTGCCATTTTTCAAAGTGGAATGGAAATATTGTTCCCTAGATGTTCGAATCCGGCAGAGACATACCTCAACAGATTTATAGGTGTGATTGTAGCAAATCAACACCAGAGGAGAAAATCGAGCGGTTGGTTGTACTGTTTTTTATTTTTGGAGCATCAGAGAAAAGAGGGCCAAATACAAACACATGTAATGTTTTTGTGATTTGTACAAAATGTTGAAAATTTTGAATAGTTGCGCTTTCGTTTCATATTTTGTTTTTTTTTTGTTTTTTTAGTCTGTCACATGAATTCCTGCATTTTGTTTGTGGTTGACAAAATGTGTGGAGATTCAAGGGATATGAGTAATTTAAGAAGATAAAATTGTTTGAGATTGTTTACGTTCAACTTTAATTGAGTCAATAGCAACAGACATCTAAATGCAGCAATCTGTCTCTCCTAGGTGCGGTCCATGATCAGTGACTTTGCAGTGTTTCTTACAATTGTCGTCATGGTCCTGCTCGACTTTGCCGTTGGAGTGCCATCCCAAAAGCTGAAGGTGCCAAGCAAATTCCAGGTAATTCCATAGAAATGTCCAAGAAATATATGTCTAAACAATATGTAAGTGCAGATGAAAAGCTGTTAAAGTAAAGAAAAGTTGGAAGTAAACAAAATTCACCTTGCTTTCAACACTTTTCCCAGTTTTCAGCACTTATTTGTGAGCTAAATTAGGACAACTTGTTGCAGGGAAATAGCGATACAAATGTCAACATGCGCACCCCTGCTCTTTTCCTGCAGCCTACCAGAGATGATAGAGGTTGGTTGATCAATCCAATCGGGCGCAACCCTTGGTGGACAGCCCTGGTTGCATCTATTCCCGCTCTTCTCTGCACCATCCTCATCTTCATGGACCAACAGATAACTGCTGTCATCATCAACCGCAAGGAGCACAAACTACTGGCAAGAGGAAAATAAAAAAATAATAAAAATACTGCTTCAGGCTTGGATTCTGAACCCGTAACTGACCCGATCTCTGTTTTACAGAAAGGCTGTGGGTACCATCTAGACCTGCTGATGGTGGGGGTGATGCTGGTTGTGTGCTCCATCATGGGACTGCCTTGGTTCGTGGCAGCCACTGTGCTGTCCATCTCTCATGTCAACAGCCTGAAACTGGAGTCGGAGAGCGCAGCTCCGGGAGAGCAGCCGCGCTTCCTGGGCATCAGAGAGCAGCGACTCACGGGCCTGGTGATCTTCCTGCTCATGGGATGCTCCGTGTTCATGACTGGAGCCCTGCAGGTGGGTCACAATCACAATGCAGGTCTGATGAGTAAAGAAATGAAGGGATGGAAAAGTGGCAACACTTGACTTGACTGTTATGTGCCAAAGTTATTTATTATATCAACAATGTATGTCTAATGAAGTGTAACTCTGACGTTTTTCCTATTTCAGTTTATTCCTATGCCTGTATTGTACGGAGTTTTTCTTTACATGGGAGCATCTTCATTAAAAGGCATTCAGGTAAAACTATATTTCTTTATGAACCACACATCTATGAGAGCTTTTTTTTTTTGCTCTTCAAAGTAGTAAAATTGCAACATTAAATAATTTTCAAAAATTTGTTTAATGACTTACTTACAAAAAGTAACACGAAGGTTTTCATCTCAACTTTCCAATAAAAATGTCATATCTAAAAATGTGTCCATCTGTTTATCTGCCCAGTTCAACTAATTTGACTTTTCTACTGCGCCTTTTCAATAAAAAGACAATGACTCCAGATTATTTTGCTGCTTTCTCAAGAGCAACGGCAAGTGAACAAAATTATGCACAATCATTATCTGCATTTCAGCTAAGGGCTTTTAATGATGCATTACAATAGTTTTTGTTAAAGTTTGAATGGTTTTGGTTTTAGTTCTTTGCATAGTTTGCACATTTTCAGTAAAATTTAGGTTGGGAGTTCTCTTGAACATCCGATTCAAAGCCACTTAAAGAGTAAAATCTGGGTTAGATTAATGATATTTGGGTACAAACAGATTTACAAATAATACAATAAACACATCCAAACCGGTTTTGAATAATATTAATGTTTCCATTATGAATATCTACGGTCTGTGCTTAAGCAGTCTCTGCTTCTTCTCTTAATGTCAGATGATTATTTTCAGATTGAGGAAGGTTTTGCTTCCCTTGGATGTCGTCCACTAACATTATGCAGTCTGTTTCTCACTCTGAGCTGTCACAGACACTGTGATAAACCTCATGCCAAGCCTGAGGCACTTGTGAATTTCTTTTTAATTTATGCAAGTAGCACACTGCTTGCACTGGGATTTTAGCAGGACTCTGACAGTGACTGGTGGAGCGAAGGCTGGCTCTGTTTGTCTTGATTATTCCCGTAAATGTTCCTCTGCCCGTCTTTCTTTCGTTGTGTATTTTCCATCGTTAGAAACATCCCTTCATTCCAAAACCAAAGCTTTCTGGATTTTGTGCTGAATTTTTTATTACATATCAGCTCTTTCTTATTTTGTCGTTTCAGTTTCAATGTATTCACACAGGTCATCAATTGCATTCATAACAATTGATGGTTTGTTGAGGGTAATGTGCTGTGGCAATGTTATACCACTTTGCAAACAGTTTGGCATGTTGGTTATCAAGTTTGGTTCTGATATATTTCAACTGCAACTCTGTAAATAAAAACCAACTTGGATTTCATCACTCATTCCACACCAGTGGACTCTGTTTTCTGATTAGCCGACCTCTGAAGGCAGTTAGTTACACTAGATTTTAAAAGTCGCTGCTGTGTATCCATGGCGCTTGGATGGATGTCAGTTTTTGGATGTCTTTCATGACTGAATTTTCAATTTACGATTTGTGTGTTTTCTTTGTTTTAAAAAGGAAATGATCAGCATGCAATCTCCAATCTCTCATGTAGTCTGCAATTCACCAGTGTTAATCGTTCTGTAGTGGTCTTCCTCTGCACTTGCTGATTTTTTATTTACTTCTAATCTTCTGTTCTGACTGTTTTCGTCTCAGTTCTTTGACCGCCTAAAGCTTTTTGGTATGCCAGCGAAGCACCAGCCAGACTTCATCTACCTGAGACACGTCCCTTTGAGGAAGGTGCATCTGTTCACTGTGACTCAGCTCACCTGTCTGGTGCTACTCTGGGTCATTAAGACCTCCCCTGCTGCGATCATCTTCCCCATGATGGTAATTATTGTCACTGAACAAAACCACTTCATTTGTTCTTCCAGTTTCTCTCTAGTCAGGATCTTGTTTTACTCCTGGTCCTGCAGGTCCTGGCTCTGGTTTTCATCCGGAAGCTGCTGGACTTGTGCTTCTCAAAACGAGAGCTGAGCTACCTCGATGACTTGATGCCTGAGTGGAAGAAGAAAAACCTGGATGATGCTTCCAAAAAATTGGAAGAGGTAATCTGAGTGAGCGGGGAAATCTTCAAATGTTTTGTTAATTCCTCTTATTTATGGCCGCGCCTGTGTTTGTATCATGCAGGAATCGCAAGAAATGCTGAGCTTGAAAAGAGATGAATCAGCTACTGTTCAGATTACGATGGAGGGAAGCAGACTTGTTCAAAAAGCACATGATCCCAAGTGAGACACACACACAC